CACCCGCGTACGAGTATATCACGCGTCTGAGCCGCGCGGCATGACACCTCGCTTATATAGTATATATATAGTGTTAAATTGTTGCAATTTTTCATTTTCTCTTACTCTATGCGCCCAAATAATATGCTGTAAAGAGCAAAGTATATCTTCATAAAATTGTTTTAATGATGAAGTAACTTTCGTTCGTAAAAATCAATATGCCATACCTAATAATAACACTCATAAATCACTTTTTAATTAAAATATCGTTCTCGAAATACCTTATGTAGTATTGTGGCTTATGTATAAAAAATAAACCTATGGTATCACAAACCTTTTTTTAGACGGAGGACAGATCTATATTTTTGTAGAATATAGTATTTATGTAGTAATTAAAAATGAATTCTCAATTAAATGACATCGTGAAACAAAACAACTAGTAGTCAATTAGTGAGTGAAAGGTTATTAGCCCTCCTTGGCAGACAGTATTAATAAAGCAATAGTAATTGACACTTAAAAATTGTAGCCGTGGTCAACAATTAGGAAAATATTATCACATATTATACAGCTAGCCTGCAGAGGATATTCGCTCTTCAAGCAATTTGAAGAATTCGTACGGGCACAACAAGACAGCCATCAATGGTTAGATCTATCTGTTGTCTGTGCCCGAACCACTGAGTTGAGCAACTGAGAGAGATAACTGCAGTTCAGGAAATTTTTTATTTATGAAAATTTTAGGAAATCTTCATCCTCGTATTCCCCTGTTTCCTTTTCCAGAACTGGACTGATTTTAATTTTTTTCACGAAAAATATAAGAAGTATCCTACTTATGTCTGTATTTTTCTTTGATAATTTATGTTCCTTAAAACCAAAGACAGTCTTGTTGCTGCATAGCAATTTCATCCATAAAATCCACCAAAAGATTTAAATAAAATAAAAAGAAGATAAATGGGTAAAACCTTTCCATTTTATCTAATCTACTGTTAGATAAAATGGAGAGGTGTGGCTTTTGATTGGTTTAAGTCATACATTTCGCGTAGGAGACAAGCCACAGTACGAATTAACTTTTTTTTATAATACAAATATAGTGACAGTTAATATATCTAAATATAGAGAAATATCGCGGTGTTCCACAGGGTACTGTATTAGGCCCTCTTCTTTTCATGTTGTATATAAACAACCTTCGAAAACATATTCAAAATCCAATGATATTATTCACAGATGATAGCACCACACTCATCAAGCGTGCTTCCAGAAATTTATATTAAGCAGACATTAGTAGAGTAGAGTGCATTGCACTCGGAAATATTGTGGAATGGTTAAACCGTAACCAAATAAGTATTAATTTGTCAAAAACTCATGTTATACAGTTTTATTCCAAATTTCAAAAACCATTACCATTAAATGTAGAATATGAGTCAGAAATAATACAGGAGGTGCATTCAACAAGGTGCAGGTTAAATAGCTGGGAACCACATTTAAATGAAGTGTTTGCTAAGCTTACAAAATTCGTGTACTTTTTGAGAAGAATAATTTCTAACGTGGTAGAGCCATGCTGCAACTATATTTGTATTATAGTTGTAGCACGAATGGTTCGACCCGACCGGAGAAGGACCACGCTCTCACAGAATTACAGCGTAAAACAGCAGCTTAACACTACTTTGTTTCATATGGTGAGTGTAGAGCACTGGAGACCCTTTTTACTGGAAAAGAGGCATTCCATCTTAGTACTCACGGGTAACAACGCATATTATGCATTTTGATTCTTTATTGAGGATGGATGTAGATGTCTATGGATCACAGCAACAACTTACCATCAGGTGGCCTGTGTGCTCGTTTGTCACCCTATCCTATAAAAAATAACACTTCTGTTAAAGAAGAATATACAATCAATTTGTGTATACAATCAATTTTAGCCAAATTAATTTTTAAACAAATATGGAAAGGGTATTTAAATTGCAAAAAAGTGCGCTAGAGCTATGTTCTATGCTTCTCAAAGTGACTTTTGTAGACCGCATTTTAAGAAACTTCTCATTTTGCCACTATCCTGTTTATTCTTTAAAGAGGTATCTATATTTGTACAGAAATATGAATATTTGTTTGAAAATTTTAAAAATCCTAGAAAGCCTTTTAAAAATACAAGTTCATATTATCCTAAAATAGTACAATACACTAAAAGCGTTTACAGCAATGCCATTAAAATTTGCAATATTATTCCTGACTCTTTTAAAAATATGAACGATATAAAATTTAAAAAGGTACTGAACACTTGGTTATTAGATAAATGCTTCTGCAGCTTACAAGAATTTATAGACAACAAAGATTAAATAAAGTAATTTTAAGTTCGGTCGTTAAATTTATTAATTAAATAATTCAAACAAATCATTAAATACTAAAACAAAATTATAATAAAAAAGTCCGTAAGTTAGGTATTTTGAGTATGGAAAACTGACGTCATATATTGTAATAAACATATTCTTAGGATCTTATTTAATGTTACCTGTAGTCGTGCAATAAATATGTTTGATTTGATTTGAAAATGTACAATAAAATAAAATAAGGTACTCCTAACCGAATTTCGGTCATGCTAGTCTCAACGGAGACTACACAATTGCGCAGCAGTGCATTCTCTATTCCCTCACTCTCATATTTTGATGGGACGGCAATGCTACACAACCGGAGTATGATCAGGCGTGGGACCTATGGCTTTACGTGCTTGGATCTGAAGATTCAAGCACGTAAATAGTATATTATGATTAGCAGTTACGTTTACGATCACTAGGACAAAGAGGCAGCTAAAATTATAAAACGTTATCTAGTTATGCACTAAAAAGACAACAGGTATTTAGCGACAGATCAGTGTAATGAGAGGAGAAAGAGAGAGAAGTTAGAGAGACAAATAACGGACGGAAAGATGGATTCTTTTGTGACGTCAACTGACCATACTTATGAAAATTTTAACTTTTAACAGTAGTATTTTTATAGAATCAGTTACACATAGGTTGCCCAAAGGAAAATAAAATATGAATTATCAAAAGTTTCATTGTTGAGTTTTATAACACGATAATATTATTGTTAAATGAAACTAATTTTTACGGATTTTATCGCGTTTATTTTAACTTTTTAATTCCCGACGTTTCGGGTGCTTTTCACAACCCGTGGTCACGTGGGCGACTGAGATGTTTGACGTCCTGATGTCATAGTTAGCCCAGCTACCTTCAGTTTTTGAATATTAATTTTTGATCCAATCTACGCAGAATGAGCTTGCAGTATCTTGAAGTCTTGCAGTGGTATACTTGGGTTTGGATTTAATTTTATTAATTATAGGATCCCATAGTAAGCCAGATTGATTCACCAACTTATAAGTTGGCTCAACACTTGGCAAAAATATTGTCAACACTGAGAGGACATACCAGAGCACACACAAAGGATTCCTACCATTTTGTTAGTGAGATAAAAGACCTACATCTCGCTGACAATGAAACTATGGTCAGTTTTGATTTTCAGTCACTATTCACATGCTTACCAATTGAAGACTGCATCTCAATAGTAACTATAAAGCTAGAAGATAACAACATGCCTACAGAATATGCAGTATTACTCAAACACTGCCTCTCATCTGGCTGTTTATTGTGGAAGGAAGAATTCTACAAGCAAGTATATGGTGTGGCAATGGGCTCGCCTGTATCTCCCGTAGTCGCCGACATATTCATGGAGGACTTCGAAGAGAAAGCCCTTCTTACTGCTCCTGTCAACCCAAGATTCTACAAGCGGTACGTAGACGATACTTTCACAATTTTACCATCTGACAAAGTAATTGCATTTTTAGACCACCTTAATTCCATAAACTCTTAAATACAATTCACAATGGAGTCAGAGGCAAACAACTCTTTAGCTTTTCTAGATGTTTTAATTATCCGAAATCCCGATAACACTATTCGTCACACTGTGTATAGGAAAAAAACGCATACCAACCGATATTTAAATGGTGAATCACACCATCATCCATCACAGTTAGCTACCGTGGGAAAATCTTTGTTTCAGAGAGCACGAGGGATCTGTGACAGAAAACATCTGGCCGCCGAGCTTCAGCACGTCGAGCAAGTATTGCATGACAACAAGCTTCGGATCCCGCGCCTACGTCACAGTGACCGAGTGAAGCGGGCCACATTTGAGCGTGCGCCTGCTGTTCTACCCTATGTCAGAGGAGTCACAGACAAGGTTGGCTACATCTTGAAGCGAGCTTCCATTAAAACATACTTCAAGTCGCCGAAGAAGATTAGTCAATTTTTACCATCCGTCAAGTGTCATATCCCTCTACAAGATGGAGGAGTGTACAAGCTGGATTGTGAATGTGGTCTCTCTTACATAGGAAAAACAAAAAGATCTATTAAAACCCCCGTGAAAGAATATATAGCTGACTTGAAGCACCGACGTTCCGAGAAGTCTGCACTGTGTGAACCGTCGTCATTAATGTAATGACGACGGTTCACACAGTGCAGGTGCTGAAAAGCACCCGAAACGTTGTGATTTAAAAAGTTAAAGTAAACGCGATAAAATCCGTAAAAATTAGTTTCATTTAATGTATAGTCTTCGCGAAAATATAAGATATCATAATATTATTGTTTGTATAGCATAGATGTAACAATATGGTTAGCCAATTTACTTTTACGATAAATATACGCAAATTATTTAAATTGCTGCTAATCCCCCAACGAATGTCACAAAGCACGATCCTGGGTCACCTGCAGCCATTGATTACCGGTATGATGCTGGCACTTGAGAACTTTCTTCCACGTCCGGTGTCGGTTCTTCAAGCTTTATGGCTGACCCATTGCTACTTTAGCTTACTGATCCGTTAGTATTCTCCTACTAATATTAAAATTGCGAAAATAGCTGTACGTTTCTCATCTTTTCACATCTAAATCGCTGAACTGATTTTGATAATCTGGAGATGGATATATAATACTTTTTTAGGTTTTTTACATTGACTAATACTTTAAACATATTTTGGCAGTTACCTTGGAGGTGCATCTCTTAACCTTTCTTCGACATACACTTGCAGGCTCCCGATTGATAGACGACTCTCGTAATTTTGATCACGACCTAAAGGCCTGTAAATAAATAAATTTATTTAATTTTTATTTATTTATACTTTAATGCACAAAGTAGTACATATGGTATGGTATACCGCAACTCAATACTAAGCCACTGCGCCACGCAGACATTTTACTCAACTTTTCAAAACTTAGAAACAAAAGTGTACCGCCGCATGTCGCGAGTGATAATATAAGTATCTGAGAGGTGGTCCTTCACTGCTGGCCGTAAGAGTAAGCTTAACGTGTCTTAGTAAGCTATAGAGATGACTGTGCTCGGAGTTTCTCCGCATAACAGAATTGATAAATAAAATGTTCGCAGTAACCTAACCTAATGCGTTGGACTATGTCGGTAAGCTAAAGGGCCGGCCCTATAGTTTGAAGACGCGGCACATGAGGAAAGGTTCCAGCACATGAGAAAAGGTTCTTGAGCGGCAGCCTTGTACCAGTAAGCGAGGAGAAGGATTGCTCCCCACTCGATGGAGTGACGATTAAGACTAGGAAGTAATAGAATGCAAGTAACTCAACACTGTTTTTTTTTGTAGCAATCCTTGGGGAAGGCCTATGTTCAGTAGTGGACTTGTTAATCATAATGATAACTGTTATTGGAGTTTTTGGAGTTTACTCCTTAAGAATCGATTTTCATATATAAGCCCGGGTTATGAAAATTTATGGGGAGTAAAATCAAACGTTACGTCGTACGTTACGTTATGTATTCATGTTTCTATGACTACGTAAAGTCATGCGCAATTTATCTTGCGCAACCCCCAGCACAGAGTACTCTCGGTTGTTCTACTTTATATAAACAAATAACAAGTGTCAACCAACTGTCAACTTGCGGAGTTTTGAAATTTCAAATATAATCGTTCGTATGGAGTAAACTCCAGTCGTTCGTCGGAGCTGACACACACACTTTTTTATTTATATTTTATTAAATTTTAATAATAAAGATTGTATTTGTAACTAAAATGTTTTACAATAAGAACTTAAGATCATCTAAATGATATTATTATTCACTAAAAATTTTAATTTCATTGCCTATTCTCACTTCCCAGTTCATCGAAAACTTTAAAATGACTTTAAATATTATAATAGTAGAACTTTTTCATCTAACCCGTTTAAAAATAGAATATTTATAACACAACGATTTGTTACAACAAATTTCCAAGCCAAGTATCGCAAAAAAATGAAATCAAAAAATATCCTGAATAACTCCTTCGTTTTTAGAGTAATTTGAAGGTTTATTTTTTAAATTATCCAATTTATTCTTTAACTAATCTGTGTTATATTTACTGTCTTCTAAGTATTTATAGAGAGGGCTAACGTTATAATTCATCATTTAGATGAAAATTTTATATAATAATTACTTACTGTAAGGTTGCAGTTGCAGCGCAAAGCCTGTACATTAGTATAAATGTAGTAATTATTCCTAATATTAGCGCAGCCGCCATGATGATTTGTGTGGTTGATACTAGAAGCATTTGGTCCAAAGAATCTCTGTAAATTAAACAAAAATATGAAAATAATATAAGTAGGTACATGATTTAAAAGAAAATTAAAGTGGCTACTAATTATATTAATCAAATCAAATGTATAATGTTAATGTATATGCTATGCTGTGTGGTGGCTGCGCAAGAACATCCACGACTCCACACCATCCCGTGGGTGACGTAGACCACAGATGGAAAAGAAACAGCATGTTCTTGACAACAACGCAAAATAATAAAAAAAACTGTGGTAACCAACCCGCCTTATATCTGCTATTTTATGAGCAGTTTGTAGATAGTATAACTTACCCTTACTATAGGAGTTATTCAAACTTCGATAAAATAATAGTTGGTTGCGGCAAATTCTATAAAGAATATGTTATCTAGCTTTGGCTGAACTAATTTTACAAACATCTGTTGTGAAGTATGTGGGCGGGCGTTATCATGAAGAAACAATGGCAAGGAGCAAGTTCATTAATCCGGGTGGCTTGAGTGCCAACTTCTCCATCGTTAATTGCAATTCATGGGTCCACTTCTAATCGCAGGTAACAATTTGACTTAAAATTCCACATTTTCTGTGCCAACTCAGCAATATAATGCAAGTTTGAATGCGACCCTTTCGCTGTCCGTCACTGAGTTTGTAAGGTACTATTTTATAAATATTCTAATATTACTTTCACGCTTACATCAAAAACCTAACCTAGCTTTACGTTGTATGGGATCCGCTTCCACTACCAGCTACAATTCGTCATTGTCTATCGCTAGTAGCAGTACTAACGATGGTTTTGTCAATGACGAATCTTAAAAATAATTCAAAATCTACCTAATAAATAAAAAATAAATAAAAACCGTCACACTTACGGCCTTCAAACTTTCAGTATGGTTTTGTAAAGAATAAAATACTGAAGAAGCTACTAACTTAAGTAACAGCATATTTCAGCACCCAGGTAGTACCAGAGTATACCTAAAAAAAACACTAAACACCGTTTATATTGCCATCCGACTTCTCCAGTTAGAGAAATTAGTTTTTAGGGCTGACTATTTACATAACAGGAATAGATAGGTATAAAACTGCCAATTTCCTGACTCTGAGCTGCTACTGAGAATTTCTTGATAAAAAATCTCAATCAACTTTTTGCCCGATCCAGGATTCAAACCTGGGACCATATAATCAGCAATCGTGTTTACGACTGCTAGACCAACAAGACGGTCAAAACTGTCTTGATTGCGTAGTACCTCGTTGATCTAGTAAATCTCTCATCTAATATTATAATATGGTCTAGTCATTTCAATATGGAGTACCACAGGGCAGTGTACCAGGACCTACATTATTTATTTGTCACATAAATTAGTAAACAAATATAAAATTAAATAATAGAGGAATTAATACGGTGGATTACATAGACATTCTGGTCTATGGTTTTACTTAGTCCAAAACCTTTTGTTGGGCAGAACGGACTTGCAAAAATTTATGAAGTGGCTACAAATTAATCTACTTAACGTATAAATTAATATAAAATCGTGTGATATTACTTTTTATTCGCTTTCTACCCAACCATGTGATCAAATATCTTTATCAGCCTATATTTGTAATACTAACACAAAATACTACTACTACTATTCAAGAAAATACTCTTAACGGAAGAGGGGTCCTTTTTAATACAAGTTTTTGTTTATTAATTTAAAGGATCTAAGACGATTAGGATGTAACATTGAATTATGGAATAAACGATTATTTTCATTACTAAAAGTATACCCAACTTATAAATTAAAGTTTGATTAGATACATCACGAGTAGGTTACATAAATTATGATGGCCACAATTATGATAAGTATATCGTTCGTCAGAAAGACTGTATTACAGAAATCGATTAAAAAATTATACAGTTAGGAATTTCAAGAAATAATTTTAATACAAAGAGTATACTAACCGGCATACCCAGTTGCCGTAAGAGTCATAACATGGTTGGCAAAACCCCTGGCGGCATTGAAGACTTCCATTTCCATATTGGTTACAGCATGGACCAAAACATGTTTCTCCCAATCCTTTAACATAATAGATTAACCGTTTGCAAATGAATAGTATATTGTTATTTTTAGAATATTTAAATTTTAATCTTGGTTATGATATAATAAAGTATATTATGTTGTAATGCTAGCCACAAATAGTTATTTAATAATTTTCAATATCAGAGTTATAACTCTATAGCTAATCCACTTATCTTGTCGTGTCTTTGTTATAAAGGTGAATTTTTTGATAATGCCGTTATGAAGCGCTATATTAGAATAATCTTTTGGTTGACGTATGGCAAAACGACGTCGTATTTTTTTCAGTTATTAATAATTAACTTTATAAAAAACTTGAAGTGAATAAAAGACAACATAATAAATTTTCCAAGAAAAATATTAAATACGTGATTAAATAACCATAATTATATTTACATGTACATAGTAACTGCGATTAAGTAAACAACATAATAAATATTTACAAGAAGTATAACAACTAACAATCGTTAATTAACAGATGATAACAATTTAGAGAGCCATTCAGCGAGGAAACGCAGCCAACGTTCTTCTCACGATACTATGGGGAGTAGAACTGTATGATAATTTAAGTTATTACTTATTAGTTTTAATTGTTTTTTCTTTTTTTATTATAGCTTTTTTAATGTTGTATATACTTCAATGTTATGTAAACAAGTTTTACTTAAAAAAATATCAATTATGTATATATAATAAATGCAATAGAAAACATAAATTTGTACGTAGGTTTTAAAACTAAAAACCCATGTCACATCTAATCATGGGTTACCGCTCTAAGTTAGATATTCTTGTACATATTTTGAACCAATTTTAGGAAGATTATTCTGAACCTCATTCTTAGAAAATAAATATTCATAGAATTTTTACATATTCCGACGATATTGTTATACCAACGGCTTGACAAATGTTTGACAATAATTTGTTATATATAGCGCGTTTTAAATGTGATCAGAGGGAGAATTTAGTGGGATATATTTAAATGGATAATATTCGTAAAGCTAAGTACCTTACGTCATTTTGGGCCTATTTAAAAAGGAGCATGCAATATTAATGATATGATGTCATGGGTATAATATATGAACGAATGATAATATTGAAAGGAGTATCTTGTAAAATGGGGAAACTGGTTTCTAGTCTCAAACATACATAGAGCACTGAATATTATTTGTATCATCAAACACTGAATATTAAAGATATCGTTACCCAAGTTTCCAGCATTTCTAAGAACAACTTCAAAGAGTTTGTAGGTATGATTCTTGCCTAACGTTATGTATACATGGAATGTGAGATTTCGATCAAATGTAACGCCTAGGTCCCGATTTAAATACACAGAATACAGAGTTATGTTAAACAGTGGTAGAGCCACGCTACAGCTTCTGCTGTAGCATGTATGGGCCGCCTCGAACCGGGGCAGTACCACGACCTCACAGAATACCAACGTAAAGTAAGAAGCTACGCTTTTGCGTTTCGCTTGGTTAGTGCAGGTGGCCGGAGGCCAAGGGAGAGGCATTGGCCGTTAGTTTGGACATAGGGAAGGCCTTCGATCGGGTCTGGCACAAAGCGTTTCTTTCGAAGCTTCCTTCCTATGGGCTTCCCGAGAAATTGTGCAATTGCATCACCAGTTTTCTGGCTGATCGGAGCATCAAGGTCGGAGTAGACGGTGCATGCTCCGATTACAAGCCTTTTAACGCTGGTGTTCCACAACGCTGCGTGCTATCACCAACACTGTTTCTTCTGCATATCAATGATATGTTGCAAACGGGTAACATACATTGCTATGCAGATGACAGCACTGGTGATGCTCTATACACCGGTCGTGCCAGTATTTCTCGGGAAAACGTCACCGAGTACCGGAACAAACTTGTGTCTGAAGTCGAGACTTTGTTGAACAAAGTCTCGGATTGAAGGCGATTAAATCTAGTCCAGTTCTATGCCCAAAAGGCACACGTTTGCGCGTTTACCGCTTTCCCTTTGTCGTATCTCCTCAGTTTCAAGGCACTCTCCTTATTGCCTCAGCCAGTATCGGAATCCTCGGCATCGATATATCGAGTGACGTGTAGTTTCGTGGTCACTTGGAAGAGAAGGCCAAATTGGCCTCTAAAAACTTGGCGTGCTCAGCAGAGCGGGACAGTACTTCATGCCGGCACACCGTCTGCAACTTTACAAGGCGCAGGTTCGGCCTCACATGGAATACTGTTCCCATCTCTGGGCAGGGGCTCCCCAGTGCCAGCTCCTTCTACTTGACCGCACCCATCGCAGAGCGGTACGAATAGTCAACGACCGAGTTCTTTACGATCGGCTTGACTGACTTGATCGGCACTGCGTAGAGATGTTCCATCTCTTTGCGTATTTTATCGCATTTAACATGGGGAGTGCTCTGAGGAATTGTTCGGACTGATTGCAGTCGCTCAATTTCACCATCACATATCGCTACAAAACTTGCGATACCGTCCATACCACCTGGATAATTGGCGGTCCACCACTGTGCGATTTAGAAGATGTTTTCTTCCTCGCACAACTTCCTTGTGGAAATGGTTACCACCAGCGATTTTTCCGGACCAATACGACTTAGGGACCTTCAAGAGAAGAGCCTACTCCTTTTTAAAATGCCGCCAACGCATCTGCAATTTCCCTGGTGTTGTAGTTGTTCATGGACGGCGGTAGTCACTTATTCATCAGGTGAGCCGCATGCTCGTTTGCCCCCTCTCCTATAAAAAAAAACTCGATATACTAAACAGGGTTATTTTTTATTAAAGAGTAGCCAAATTTTAAACTTAAATTCAAATATATAAATATTGATATACCTTTATTGCAGTTTTTGAAAATACAAGTAAATAAGGCCTTTATTTGAAATTATCGCAAATTTAATGTGATTTATGAGCAACAACGTTTTTGCCTACCGATGGACCCCTACGAATGTGTACGTGCGTAGTAAAATCAGTTAAAATAATGCATTACCAGGCATTTTGAATTTAAAAGATAAAAAGGACAGAATGTTTGAGATTTTTTGAATTAATTTTTCTTCACTATTTGCCTATATTACTTATTATGAGCATTCTCTGCAAATTTGACCGGTTATTGCAAAATAACCCTGTATATCGCCATTATGGGCGTGATGATTATGACAAATCAATTTTACTTGTGAAATTTATAAATTTGTCTAAGTGCAATGCACAATAACAATTAATGACAAACTCCCCACGCAATTAAACTTGCTTATTAATGCTAGACCATGCTTGGGTGACCCACAAATGGCAATATATTATTTTGAAAATGCCGTTCTCAAACTCCATAGATTGTTGATTCCCATCAACAATCTAGCAACAACAAGCTGTGTCTCCAGACTTTTTAAAACTTCATCAGTGGATTAAGAAAGGCTAATAAATAAGGAGATAAGGCGCACTGTTGATAGACAATGATAAAATTGTAACAATGCCGGCGGTTATTTTGATATTAAAATTACCCTACGATGTACGTTTGTATAGATTTTAGATCCTAAAAATTTTGAATAAAATAAGATGCCTTCATGTGGTGAGAATTTATAAGTGAAAATTATTGAAGATGTTGATGGATAATGATCGTTTTATCATTTTTTTTTAATTTCCCTAATAATAAGGTAAATAAGGAACAAGACCTGGACATCTTATGCAACGTGTCTGGAAGTGGTTTGGAACATATCCTTCAGCACAGTAGCACTCATCGTTTATGCACACGTAAGCTTCCCCCACGCAGTATTTCACCGCGCACTCGTCTGTAAAGCATAATATATAATTATTAAGCGCTTTTTTTATTTATATTGTGATGTGATGACTAAAAAATTATTGTAGTATTAAATCATAAAAACATTGTAAAAGTTAATATGTGCCTACAGCTATCTTTAGATTTTGGAACGAAGTTCTTTATCGGACGGTACGGGTTTGGCGGATGGGAGCTAGGCGACAAAAAGTATAAGATTTTTTCATCACTACCCCTTGTGTCATAGTGTAGACGGCCTTCGCGGCGAAATAAGGAAGTGAGATGGAATAATATCCATCTCCCGCGCACTTTTTCTTATCTTACCATAAAAGAAATATTATTTAATTTCAAATGACGCTTCATTTTAATAGACGCTAATAATTCATTTATTTGTATTTGTTAATCAATAATATAATACCTACGTTTATTAATAATAATATATCTACTACGCAAGGAACTTCGTTCCAACCGAGTGTTCCACGACAGTCACGCATTTTTGTATTCAATTGTATTTTCATCATTTCATTTATAAAAAAAAACTATTGCTTATAAGCAAGTGCCTTTTTCCTCCTTCTCTTCCTCGTTAGTACATAAACAGCTCACTGCTGCAAAAGTGCAATAAGGTACGTGAGGGTAATATGGTCACCTTAAGCAACCTTTAAAAACCAAAACTAGCAGAAGGAACAAGACAAAAACACAAAGTTGTATAGGTACTATAACTAATAAGTAATTAAGAAAAAAAATTGCAAACAAGCTGTGGCAATAATTAGGAACAATAATTTAAAAAAAATTAACTTCATTACACAATACTAAAATTGACTAATATAAGCAGCGCCCTTTTGTCTCTTTATTATTTGGTTGACTATGATGAAGGGCTATCGTATCACAGAGCCATCCATGCAAACAAGGCTGTAGTTTTTGAGTTATAAGAAAGTGACTATATTAACTGGATGGCCATATTACCCTCACGTTCTGTTCTCAATTCTCTCTCTCTCAATCTGATATTCGATTTAAACCGGTTAATGTACACCCTATTTTACAAAATCTATTTTTAAAAATAAGGTGTAATATTTAAACATAATAGAACCCTATGTTATAGATATTTTAAAATTTTTTAAAGTAATCTTTTTCATTTTGTAAAAATAAAATACACAGCGTTATTAAATATTAAAGTAAGTATTTATTAATAAATCGATTTCATGAAAATCTCAATGGAAAATAATTTTCTACTTCGTTCATCTACAAATTTAGAGGAACGCAAATAAAATGTGTATAAAACGAAATATCATGGACAATCATGATTATTTTGGATGTTGCTTATTATTCGTTAATCTAAAATTGTAAATGTCGAAAAAACAAACTAGCAAACGATAAAAATTAACCACATTAAGATAAAAATAAAAATTTTACAGGAAATAAACATTTGTATACTAAACATTTTATTCATTTTTTTTTCTCCTATTGTAATTATCGAGCGTACTGGCCACAAAGATTAGTACCTAAATGCTGTTAAAAAAGAAAGTTATGAATCGTTTTTATGGTTCTGTAAACGAACAGGATCCTATTACTAAGTCTCTGCTGTACGTCCGTCTGTCTGTCAGCGGGCTGTATCTCACGACCCGTAATATGTAGACAATATTAAAAATAAAAATAAATTAAAAATTAAAGGGAACTCCCCTACTAGAAACATGTATTACGATGGTACGGATGCGCGAGTCTGACTCGCACTTGACTGGTTTTTTTTATTTGTTTTTATTCAAATATTCCGTAATAAAATTGCTTTCTTGCCCCCGTCGGTTGATTCCGGATGTCAGTCTGAGCGAGATTAGAATGGTTCTCCAGCACCTTACAAACGGCAAGGCCCCAGGCGAGGATGGAATTACAGCGGAGCTTCTGAAAGCGAGTGGAAAACCGGTACTTGAAGTCCTTCAAAAGTTCTTTAATTCCGTCCTCCATGTTGGCACTACACCGGAGGCGTGAAGCAGAAGTGCGGTGGTTTATTCTTCAAAAAAGGCGACAACGCTCTCTTGAAGAATTACAAACCGATTTCCCTTCTGAGCCGCGTATACATGCTGTTTTCGAGAGTCATTACGAATCGTCTCGCATGCAGACTCGACGACTTCCAGCCTCCCGAACAAGCTGGTTTCCGAAAAGGCTTTAGCACCATAAACCAAATTCACACCCTTCGACAAATAATATAGAAGTCCGAAGAGTACAATTTGCCACTATGTCTGGCGTATGTGGACTATGAGAAAGCCTTTGATTCCGTCGAAATTTGGGCGGTGCTGCAGTCCCTTCAGCGGTGCCAAGTTGATTGTCGGTATATCTAAATGCTGAAGTGTTTGTACAGTAGGGCTACGATGGCTATCCGAGTACAGAAACAGAGTACGAAACCTATTCAACTGCAGAGAGGTGTAAGACATGATGACGTTATATTCCCGAAACTCTTCACCGCTGCATTGGAAGACGTTTTCAATTTTCTGGACTGGAAAGGATACGGTAGTAACATCAACAGCGATTACATCAGTCACCTTCGATTTACCGAGGATATAGTCCTTATGGCAGAATCGCTGGAGGACCCAAGCACTATGTTCAATGACCTCAATAGTGCCTCCCAACGTATAGGTATTAAGATGAATATGGACAAAACAAAAATCGTGTATAACGTCCATGTCACACCTATGCCAGTAGTTGTTGGGAGCACTAAGATCGAAGTTATTGATGAGTATGTTTACCTGGCACAAATAGTCCGACTAGATAAGTCCAACTTCGACCGAGAGGTAAATTGACGGATTCAACTCGGCCGGGCAGCGTTCGGGAAATTACGGCACATCTTCTCGCCAGGTATACCTCAAAACTTGAAAACGAGACTGTACAACCAGTCCGTGTTGCCAGTGACAACCTAAGGAACACTGAAAGAGGTAGAGATGAGGATATCCGCAGTAGAACCAGAGTTATTGACATAGCCCAACGGATTAGTAAGCTGAAGTGGCAATGGGCCGGCCATATAGCTCGAAGAACCGACAATCGATGGAGAATAAAAGGTTCGAGTGGCGGCCTCGTGACGGCTGACGAAGTGTAGGGCGTCCCCCCTCTAGATGGAGTGACGACCTAGTAAGACATGCAGGAAGTCGATGGATGCAGGTGGCTTAGGACCATGCTTTGTCGCCATTCCTTGAAGGACGCCCATGTTCAGCAGTGGACTAGTGAAGGGCTGCAATGATGAGGATCCCCATCGTAAAAAGAGGGGTGTTATGAGGTTTACCACTATGTGTGTGTGTGTCTCTGTCTGTCCGTGGCACCGTAGCTTTTAAACGGACTCTCAAGATTTTTATGTATAACTTGACTTTTATTTATATTTATGATAACTTGATTGGGATGCCAAGGAGACTGGAAGCAGTTCGTAGAGCTAGAGGGGGCAACAGTAGGAGTAAGTACACTGATCATAGCCCACATTGTAGGCATAAAACGGACAAATGGCACATAATTTCTTCCAAAATCTCAGTTACATATCGTGCCGCTGTTAGTGACTTATTAACTCTTAATGACGTGGAGTTCCATCATCATCATCATCATTATTACAGCCCTTCACAAGTCCACTGCTGAACATAGGCCTCCCCCAAAGGATGCCACAAAGCACGGTCCTGAGCCACCTGCATCCATCGACTTCCTGCATGTCTTACCAGGTCGTCAGTCCATCTCGTGGGGGGACGCCCTACACTTCGCCTACCGGTATGAGGCTGCCACTCGAGAACCTTTCTTCCCCATCGGTTGTCGGTTCTTCGAGCTATATGGCCGGCCCATTGCCACTTCAGCTTACTAATCCGTTGGGCTATGTCGGTTACTCTGGTTCTACTGCGGATATCCTCATTCCTAAGTTTATCACGCAGAGAAACTCCGAGCATAGCCCTCTCCATAGCTCGCTGAGCGACCTTGAGCTTCCTCATCCGGCCAGCAGTGAAGGACCACGTCTCAGTTCCGTATGTCATCACTGGCAACACGCACTGGGTGTACAGTCTCGTTTTCAAGGTTTGAGGTATACCTGACGAGAAGATGTGCCGTAATTTCCCGAACGCTGCCCAACCGAGTTGAATCCGTCGATTGACCTCTCGGTCGAAGTTGGACTTACCTAGTCGGACTATTTGTCACGACTACTCATCAACAACTTCGAGCTTAGTGTTCCCAACAACTACCGGCATAGGTGTGACATGGACATTAAACATGATCTTAGTTTTGTCCATGTTCATCTTAAGACCTATCCGTTGGGCAACACTATTGAGGTCATTGAGCATAGTGCTTAGGTCCTCCAGCGATTCTGCCATAAGGACTATATCGTCGGCAAATCGAAGGTGAGTGATGTACTCGCCATTGATGTTGATACAGTATCCTTTCCAGTCCAGAAGCTTGAAAACGTCTTCCAATGCAGCGGTGAAGAGTTTCGGGGATATGACGTCACCCTGTCTTACACCTCTCTGCAATTGGATAGGTTTCGTACTCTGGTTCTGTACTCGGATAGTCATCGTAGCCCTACTGTACAAGCACTTCAACACTTCGATATACCGACAGTCAACTTGGCACCGCTGAAGGGACTGCAGCACCGCCCAAATTTCGACGGAATCAAAGGCTTTCTCATAGTCCACATACGCCAGACATAGTGGCAAATTGTACTCTTCGGACTTCTGTACAATTTGCCGAAGGGTATGTATGTGGTCTATGGTGCTAAAGCCCTTTCGGAATCCGGCTTGTTCGGGAGGCTGGAAGTCGTCAAGTCTGCGCGCAAGACGATTCGTAATGACTCCAGTCAGAGTTCCATACGTGCGCCCAAACAAATATGGAAGGATTAAAGTGTGGGCATCTCCACACTTTAATCCTTCCATCATCTGGTTTCAGGCAAAATCTGGACTCACATGTGAATAGAAATTGACTCTAAGCTTCATTATTACTATTTTCTTGATTGCGAGCAACTCGAGCTTGCTCGATGTCATGTGGCAAATATGGCATATAATTAATTTAGGCAGATTTTAGTCTTATTTTTTTCACAGTCTTTGTGCTTACTGTAACCCCTTGAACTTTTTGAAACTTCGTTCTTATCTCAGAAGACGTTAAAGTTCAGTTTATAAGCACGCTGGTAACGATGAACTGGTAATCTCTGGCCACAGTTTTCTGTTTGCGTCCCTGTCCTGCAAGTCTCGTTTACTGTCCAGTCTGCCTCTTGTCAGGTGATACCTCTTGACAACTCGGTGTTACACAGATTATGATACTCGTAATGTTTGGACCACATGTGGCGTGCCCAGTTTCAGTTAAAGTTTAGTAATGGCCCTAACAACTTGGTTGGCGTGTAGATCTGGCATTCTCAGTTTATTTACAGTAACAAATGACACTTAACACGATAAATAAGCAAGGCATAAATTTAAACAAACCCTGAATTTAGAATCAAAAGTTGGCAAAATTGTGCAGTATGAAAGAAAGCAATTTTTATTACCGGAATAATTAAATAAAAACAAATAAAACATAAAAAAGAATTTTCTTTCTTTTTTAGTAGCATTTATGTACCAACTAATGTTAATTACAACAGGAGAAATTATAACTTTTTTGGCGTTCCTCTAAAATTTGGTTTTTTCTCATGGCAAAAAAATCAACCGATATACAATTACGTCTTTTTATATAATTTTGATTCAATTGCATTATATAAATGGGCAGATACCTATACAGCCCTTAATAAGCGATATATTCAATATTTTGTTAATATTTCTTATCTAACTGTATAACTATACTTTAACGAACGCAAATCAAATCAAATCAAATATGTTTATTTTCATTTACAGATCTCGATATATACATAATAAAACATAAGGTAGTAAATATAAAATTAATAAGAGCAAAATAAACTCAATCAATAGAAATGTTAATTGTATCACACTATCTCTAAATTTATACAAAAATTGTCCTTATTAACAGTAACATCATATAATTTTTATCACTTATCTGACAAAATAATGATAGATCATCGGATAAGTACTAAAAAAAGTAGAAACTGAAATACAAAAATATCACCGTAATTTTTGGTAAATATAGGTATATATACAAAATACAAATATATACATGGAATTCAATGGTGTAAAATAAAGTGTTAAGACAAATACTTATATTTTATCTCAAGATAATGTCGTAATCATTTCATTATGTACTCCTACAATTGTAATTTATATACAGAGATAAGAAAAAAAAAGCACCACTCAAATTTAGACCAACACAGCTGTTTTCTAATAATATTAAAAGAGTCACCAAATAGAAAAACATAAAATAGGTAGTTGAATTCTTGTTTTATTCATTGATGTGATTGTTAAAATTGTAATGTTCTTTTGGTATGACTAAATGTATTCGGTCATTAGTCAATTCCCATACCCTTCCAATGTCACCTTTTTATTTCTGATAATTTAGAGATGGCTGACCGATTGGTGATACAACAACAATTGGTGAAACAACCAATTGCCTCGCAACTCAGGCGCTGCTTCGCATCGCTGATCGTAATTTTGTCATATCTAACAAATACGTGACGGTATATTACCACTTATCGCAGACAATGATGTCCCTCTAGTTTATTCCATAGTCACCTCTATTGACACCCGCGGGACTAATCGGTTGATGGATTTTATTTCGCTGCAATACTCGATAGTTTTGATGTTCTAAGGAATTTCCTACAATAGCTGTCACTAACATTGTATTGTGCTTCTTTGTGTTGATTTGTTTTTGATTTTGTTGTTTGTAACCTAACTTCTTATCATACGTAGTAGAGCAATGCTGCAGCTTTGGTGCAGGTTGTAGCATGAATGGGTCGTTTCGATAAAGAAGAACCACGCTTTCACAGAACAAAAGCGTAAAATGCTGCTGTATTTTATATGGTAAGTGTAGCGAACTAAGGACCCTTTTTACTGAAACGAGGCATTTCATCTTAGTTCTCAGAGTTGACAACGCATCGTCGATGATGTGAATGTCTATGGGTCATAGCGTCCACTTACCATCAGGTAGCTTGTCATCCTTATTCTATAAAAAAAGACAATTTAATGTGTACTCGTATGGTCTAGACACTGTCAATTAAAGAAGAGAACAAAGACAAGACAAGGTCACTAGTTAGGAACTTGGAAGAAACTGCACAAGTCCATGATCATTGGCAAATGCTCATATCGGAGGCCAATTTATGCTTTGAGTCATTAGGCCCGAGACCGGCAACGAGTAAACGATAAAACAGAATTTTACATCCTTATGACCTATGGTTATCATAAAGATCGATAAGAGGCAATGAAGTGACATTCTATACCATGATATCTAGCATAATCGATTGCAGGATAAGCTTCATAAATCCTAAATCCAAACCGGTAATAGCAAGCAAAGTTTAAACTGCAAGGCAATATGCTCTTTACTTACTACTCAAAAACCATTGTGTAGCCAGAAAAGTTCAGCTTACTTGTTGGAAAATATGTGCATCTTCAGGGCATCATAAAGTTCTTTAAATTATTTTTATATTAAATTATGCGCGATTTCAAAAAGAAGTTATTTTTTCTGGAAATCGCATCAAACAGAACTCACTCGAAGTGTTTTGCAATATCATAACAATTGTCATTCATTATAATGTTAATGTCGGCAGGTTTTCATTATACCTAAGTAAATTAAAACCTCATGCCTAACCTAAATCACGCACGATTCGATGTTAAAAATACAAAGTTACGTGATCCTATTGAAACTATACATTTACTCGTAAAGGCATATTTTTTTCTGCAAAATTCATGTACAAAAAATAGACTGAAAAAGAAACTTAAAATATTAATCTGTAAATTAACTTTCATTACTAATTAATAAAAGAAAAACTTAATCTTTAATGAAAAATAGGTTTGTGGCAAAAATAGGCAAATATTTTTACCTTCGACAGCTCTACTTGGTTGAGCCAAAAATATCACAAGTATGCAACAATATAAAACCCAATATGCCATGTTGATTTTTCACGTTCTTACATTATTGTTTAAGCGAAATTTCCGAACGTATCAGCACTAGTTCCTAATGAATTTGTCACATAACAAAACATTCACACTGAGCGTTCACTTTTAACGTATGAAAACTGTACTGATAAGTTATCAGAGATCTGCCGCTTTGTAGCGATACTTACTTATCGTTACTTTCACGTCATTCATTATGCTGAGTGTTTGTGTCACAGCACAGTACCTTCCTAACCTTGAATCTGTTACTGATGAAAACAATAGTTTCTTGCATGCTTTAAAATTACCGAACCGTCATTACGAATAAATTAACCGAACATTTACTATCAAGAAGTGTGTAAACGGTCAATTACTGTAATGGAAGATATTGAATTATTTGTGTCGAATGAATAATGAAAGAATAACGTTGTGAAATTCGAATTATTACTCAAATGCCTACATTCTAAATCAAAATTCTAGACTTTGGTAAAGTAATTTATTTGCAGTGTATCATATTTATTTATAACTAGCTGTTTTTCCGCGACTTCGCCCGCGTGTAATTTAGGGTTTTAATTATGTTGCGCGGAAGCCTAATTATTTTTCTAAAAAAAAATAGCCTAAGTTACTCCTTATAACATCAGCTATCTGGCAGTGAAAGTCCCGTCGAAATCGGTCCAGCCGTTTCGGAGATTAGCTGGAACAAACAGACAGACAGACAGACAGACAGACAAACAGACAGACACAGACAGACAGACAGACAGACAGACCTACAGACAGACAAAAATTTAAAAAATTGTGCTTTTGTTATATGTACCGTATATGCTTTCATATGCATTTAGTAAAAAGCTGGTATTTTGACATTACAAACAGACACTTTAATTTTATTTATTTGTATAGATAGTTTACTTTATTTTACCCTTTCAGGACATGCGAATGTTTACATATTATTAATCATAATCACAAGTATAATTAAATTTAATTAAATAGGTAGATATCACAAGCATTAAAAGAAATCTATATCATTACTTTAGCAGGAGGATTTATGTATTTACTATAATGTCGATACAGATGTCAAAACAACAATTTTGGAAGCGTTTACTCTGCGCATCACACATAGAAATGAATGGATTTGGATGGGACTTTCAATATAGCGTTATTAGACTTCGAAACGTTAAAAGAAATATATATCATAACGCTATCTTTTATAGGACCTAGCTAAATATACAAATTTCTGGAGTAATTTCGTTTTTCAATAGGTGATAGGAATCCTCTAGGATTCCGTCTGTGTAAGTACCACCCTCTAACACCTTAGAGTCCACTTTTGAGCTTAAGTCTCGTTAATAGATTACGAATGGTACCTACCTCATATTTGCAATAGTTGCCACATTTGGCAGGCGGTTTGTCAAACGCAGGCTTTTATAATTTTGAATCGTTATTAGGAAAGCTGAAGTGGCAATGTGCCGACCAAATAGGTCAAAGAACTGACAACCGATGGGAAAGAAATGTTACCAAAAAATCTATAGTACGCCATTTTATTTTTAATGCACCATTTCCAAAATCATATATTGGGTTTTCGTCACGAAATTTTGGGTAGCAGTCAGGAAGTTGGCGATGTTTCGCCTCCGAGCCTCGGAAAGCACGTAAAGACATTGGCCTTGCGCCTGATCTCTCTCCGGTGTGTTGGATTACCGTCCAATCAGTCTGTGAGATTGAGAGAATAGATTGCACCTGTGCTTACGCATACACTTGGGCACTATAATCGTATCCTGCGCAGATGGCTAGTCTCCGTTGAGACCGGCCGCCGTGACCGAAACTTGGTCTGGAGGATATTAACAGTGTTCGTACCACATTGCACTACCGCTAATTTATCTAATAAGAGAGATTACTGCAAATAGACTATGTTTAGTCCAAACAATTAACTTTTGAAATTTGCATTCGCACTCGTTCCGCCCGCTGACTTGTAAAGGTCACCTTGGCCCCACTTCCGTGCGTCGTTGGGTAGAAGGGCGCGAGGTCAGAACGTGAGTGCAACAGAGTTGCTAGAATACAGTGCTATAGAGAGCACGTTTTAAAGTCGCCCGGGAAACCTCCATTTTTGGAGTCGGTTTTGTTAGCAGATGTTGCCACGACGAAGGTTTCTTTGTTAAGTCTAGAATTCGACGCCGGGCTGACAAGTTGTTAGGAAGTTAACATTGACTGCGATCAAAGTCTGAATTGCGTGTTATGCGCGCCTAATTTACCGCGAATTTGGTTATTCTAATTTACTAGTATATAAGTGCATTTGACAACATTCATTTGCTCGAGTGGCCTTTGATATAGTCGGATACGTTTTCGGTATTAGAGGTGTGTTACGCTTTAGTTTAGTGTTACTGGCGTCTGGAAGTATAGTTAATAGACTGTCCTAGTGAAGAAGGAAGAAAGTGACGGTGGGTGACGCCGCGGGAGATTACCACAATTTGGAGCGGCGCCGAAGTCCGGGCTGCTGCCGACTTCGAAGGTCCCGGCAGGTCTATCACCACTAACACCACAAACCACCACTATACTCAACACATACACACCTACGGCCTGACCGAGCCCTGAGACAGCAGTCGCCTCACATACAGGTAAGTAATATCTATTTGATTAGCCTCCCCTTTAATTGTAGTAAGATATAACATTTTCCATATAGTTCATTGTGATATAACATTTCCACGCGGCCATATTGAGGCCCGACCTGCGTCTGCTCGTGAAGTCTTCTGCTGAATGGGTGTATTTGACCCGGAGTATTTGACCTTTGTAGGAGCAGCCGTAGGCCGTAACATAAGTGGTAGCAGAGCGTGGTTCCGGGTTCGATTCCCGGTCGAGCCCGACCATAGTACTTGATAAAAATTAAACAATTTTGGTGGCAGGGAGCGTTTGTTTGATTGGTTTAATTTTGTGTCTACAATCACGCCCGGCCGTAATACGTAAAATTAAAATTCTTTTCTTTTGTTGCTTTGTTGCTTGCTTTTTTTGTTGTTAGCGGGTAGTATGCGAACGCCACGCCCGTAGGCTGAGCAAGCGGGAGTTTTTTGTTAAGGCTAAGTACTTACCGTAGTTTGTTAAGGCGAGGTACCTTGACTAGGTATATGAGGTTGTCACGTAATCGGATAATTTGTTGATCGTACTAGGGTTTGTTACTTGTTAATTTGATTTGTTGTTTTTTTTTTGGGCTAACTTGTATTTAATTTAATAAATAGTAATCGTATTTGTGTAATTTCTATTTAACTTGATTTGATAGGAACTGTATTTGTTATTTGTTAATTTGATTTATATTTGAGCCGCGTATTAATTGTATTTAGTACTGATGCCATCGCACAAGCTACTGATTCGTCGCCTGCGGACTGAGCTGCGCTGGGCTACCAGCGCGCATGCTTTGATAGGTCGACCGGATAGGGTCTATAACTTGAGGAAGCGGCTCGAGCAGGTCGATGCTCGAAGGGCCGCAGTGGAGGAGGCTTACGCTGATCTCGAGGATTCGGATGTGGAAAAGGGAGTCCTGGACTCCTGCTTCGCGGACTACGAGCAGTTCTTTTCGCTCACGGACGAGTTCATCGAGGCTGAAGGCAGGTATGCTGAGGAGGCGCGTGAAGCTCGGATGAGTGGCCTGCCCGAGTCCTCTCGGAAGCAGCCTCAGCCGGAGCTGTTGGGATGACTCCCAACTCTGGACCTGCCAAGGTATTCTCCGGGGTCCTTTCCGAATGGCTGACCTTCGTTGGTCTTTTCGACAGCCTAGTGGACGCCCGGAGGGACCTGACCCCGAGCCAGAAGATGGCGTACCTCCTGGCCTCACTAGAGGGGGAGGCCCTGGGCGTCGTCGCTCACTTGAGATTGTCTGACGACGCCTACCAGACTGCTCGGGACCAGCAGCAGCCAGAAGATACGCCAATGTTCGGCGAATTGCGGACGAACATGTTAAGCAGCTTCTAAGCCTCCCGCTATTTAGTGACCGGGCCAGACTACGTCCGGACCTGGTGAATCCAGTCTTGGTGGCCTGTAATGCGTTGACTCATCGACCACGTCCAAATGGCTACAGATTCCTTGCTACAACAGGTCCCATCCGCAGAGATCGTGATCCTTGGCGATTTTAACGCCCACCATGCCGAATGGCTCGGTTCACGTTTAACCGATCATGCGGGGAGATCTGTTTATGACTTTGCCTTGGCATATGGTCTGACACAACTGGTTACTTCGCCTACGCGGATTCCAGATGTGGAGGATCATACACCTTCCCTGTTGGACCTTCTGCTGACCTCTCATCCGGACGAATATCAGGTTTCCGTCGATGCCCCTCTCGGCTCTTCGGACCATTGTCTGATCCGGAGTATGGTGCCACTCACGCTCCCTTCGCGGTTGCGTTCTGCAGGTTGCCGCCGTGTTTGGCATTACAGGTCGGCGGATTGGGACGGAATGCGGTCTTTCTTTGCATCCTACCCATGGGGGCGGGTTTGCTTCTCGCCGGATGATCCCAGTGCTGTTGCTGACTCTGTCACTGATGTGGTGCTACAGGGAATGGAACTATTTATTCCATCATCTGTGGTACCCATCGGAGGCAGATCTCAGCCTTGGTTTGGTCGCTCCTGTAAGACTGCATTGCGCAGTAAGCAGGAGTGTTATCAAGCCTGGGCTGCAGCTTCGGTGACTCGGGATGTAAACACCAGCACACTTAAAAAGAAGTATAACTTCGCCTCCAGGTCCTTCAAAAGAGTTATTGCCAAGGCAAAGTCAGAGCACATAGGCAGAATTGGCGAGAGACTAGTTCGCCTTCCTTCGGGAACCCGTGCATTCTGGTCTCTCGCCAAGGCTGTCCAAGGGAATTTCTGTAAGCCATCACTACCATCTCTGCACAGGGAGGATGACTCACTGGCCCATGACGCAAAAGACAAAGCCGACCTTTTAGGCTCCCTTTTTGCGTCCAACTCGACTCTTGATGACGGGGGGAAAACACCGCCGACCATCCCGCGGTGTGAGTGCTCCATGCCGGATGTGCTGTTCTCACA